AGGGTGCAACAATGAATGAATGGAATCCCAAAATCTCTGTAGATGTTCATTGAAATGAAAAATAAACAACCTAAATTTAAAAAAACAAACAAACAAACGAAAACTTCCTGTGCCACTGAATGGGCAGGAATCAGCAATGGAGGAGACATGCCTGCTGAAGAATAGCACTCAATTTTAAGAAGTGGTTCCTGTGGACTTTAAATATAATTTCAATCTCATTACCTTAGTTGTTTTGAATTTTGTATTCTCTTCCATTTATAAATAGAATATTTATTAATTTATTCTTATATTTTTGGTGGTGAAAAATTTGATAATAAATTCACATGATTACATGTAGGGTTTCACTAAAATGATTTTTTCATTTTGTACTTTTATGCATGTTAAAAATGGCTTTTAAAAAAATGCCTTTTCAGTACTCATGTACCAATTTTAATATAGTTCACCAAATGACCGTTTTGCATTCTTAGGAAATGAAATTTCCCACAATAACTTATTTTACATATTAGATATTTATTCACAGTTTCAATACTGGGCAGAGGATCCTGACAAACAGACTTCTCTTTCCTTAACATAGATTATTCTTCATTCTATGCATAAATACCAACCTCGAGTGCATGTCATCCGCAAAGACTGTGGGGATGACCTTTCTCCCATCAAGCCTGTGCCTGCTGGGGATGGAGTGAAGGCGTTCTCCTTCCCAGAGACTGTCTTTACAACTGTCACTGCCTATCAGAATCAGCAGGTATTGTTCACAGAATTGATATCTTTCTAGAGTTTCCATTTCAGAAATAAATAGAAAGCTAACTATCCTTTCACTGTATCTAAATTATATGAATTATTACAAAACATTTACCAAAAATGACATTTAGGCATACACGTGTTTATGTATACTTATCAATAGAGACACAGATGTATAAAACAATTCTTTTTCCAGGATTCTCCAAGTAAGGCTAATCTAGGAAGACTTCTTTAGTCCATTTTGAGGCTTACTTTCTATTTTGAGATACTGAATCATAATGTCATATTTAAAACTAGAAAGCATGTTTACTGCCTAGGAAATAGAAAAATAAGATGTTGACATGTGAATTGTGCATAGCATGGAATTTGTCAACTAATCTTTTTTAAAACTACAGCCCATAAATGAGAAATATTTCAGTCATGTTAGTGTCTATAAAAAATGATTGCTTCTTTCAAGATAATCTTTAATTGTAGTAGAGGACAATATATATGCTTTTAGTATGAGAAATCCACTATGTTGGAGTATGTTTTTCATAAAATTAGAAAAAATGTAGGAGGTAAATCTGTCTAATTCTTTAATACTCTGTGTGTGTTGAATAGGTCCATAGTGTGCAATTCAGCCCAGTGTTTGTAATGAATAAGTACATAATTGAAGCTTGTGTGGCCTGTGGCAGATTTTCCTTCCCATTCATTATTTATTTATTTATTTATTTTTTAATTTCAATGCTTTGCAAAATTGTTTTAAGTCTTCACTTCTCTTTATATGCATCTGAGCTAAGACTTTGAGGCATGCTAATCACACTTGTGGTTTCTTGCTTTAAAGCTTCTTGTATCTCTGTCCTGAATATTCTCCTTTAGGGCTGAGACATTAGGTGTTCATTCCCTGTGGATGTGTAAGCTCACTGCCACACTGATGCTGCCCTGTCCTCTCAAGTTCGCACTGATATGAGTTTTTAAAATCTTAGAGACCAAGGCAGTAACTGGGAATGCAATCTCTTGTTGTTGTTGTTGCTACGAACCATCGAGTCATAGATAACTCACAGTGACCCTATGAACAAAAGATCTGAACACTTTTATAACTTTCATCGTTTCTCTAAGTTCCTAGAGTTTCCGGGGGCAAGCTATTTCAGAAATGGATGCCATTCCTGCTTTCAAAGAAGTACTGTAGTTAGGAAAATATTCCTAAAATGTGTTAGAAGCAGAAGTAGGTTTTTTTTCTTTTTTAAAAAGATTAGTGTATGCATGCAGAGAAAAGAGCAGAAGTATTTAGTACCTTATTATCAACTGTAATTACTATTTCTTATTCATTCAGTCTCTTTTGCACATAAATTATCTTGTTATAAATGTTTTCAGTAGGTTTCTATTGTGCTAAAATTGAGAAATAGCTTTTTTGTACAAGTTGGCATCTAACTCACCAATTAGCATTGACGTTGAAAAGTTTCTGAAGAGGGTAAAAAAAAAATAAGAGAAATTGATAATGACAAAATATAATAACATTTTCCTTTTAATGTCCTAGGGTGCTCTGGTGGTCTAGTGGGTAAAGAGTTGTTCTGTCAACCCAAAGACGAACAGTTTAAATCCACCAGCTGCTCCATGGGAGAAAGATGGGCAGCATTCTCCTCTCATGCAATTTATAGCCTCTGAAAAGTTCAGCTATGAGTCAGTATTGGCTCTACAGTAATGAGAGTTTTTCTTTTTTTATTTTTTAGTTTAATATCCTAACTATTACTTTTAAGAATTTGTGGAAAATTGGTAGACAACATAGTCTAGTAGTTTACAGAATAAGTGCCAAAGTTTAAGGCCCTAGCCTAGTTTTACCAGTTATCAACAGAGTGATCTTCTTAACTAAATTTTACTATATGTAAAATTTTTAGCTTAAAATGCATAGTGTGCACCCAAAAATGCAGTAATGAGTATAACAATAATGACAATTGGGATATATCTTTATTTTAAAAGGAGTCATTATTTAAATCTACAGTCTAATTTTTGTACTCTTAAAAACATTATTTTAAAAATATTCTGAAATGAACAGAGAACAGAATTATAAAAATCTTTAAAAACTAATTTCTTCACTGTTGATGGCAGACATGGTGAATTTATGAGCCAACACTTCGATTACTTGTAACAGAGTTATATTGTACAGAGCAAACATGTCTTAGGTGTTGCACTCCTGATGGGAGGCCAGCTAACTCAGAGCATGCACCATAGGCAGCTGCAGATGACTTTCCAAAGATACCCTCTGCCTTAGAATGTCCATCATTAGTCAAGATGATGCAGTTAGAAGTATGTTTATTAACATTGTAGAGTTCATTAAGTGAAGGAATGTAGAAAGTAAAGCATGATGAGCCTTTTAGAAAATAGGCTATAAATTCCACTGGACAGAGTGGAGATCTGTTAAGAAACAGATGGGGCATTGTTTCTTAGTGTCACATTTAACAGAATGAAAGTTAAAAAAAAAATAAATCTAGAACTCATCAGATTGTCTGTAAACATCTGACCTCCAGATTTTGTACTCTTATTGGACAATAAGCTAATTACGAATATTTTCCCATCAGAACCCTCTAGTATTGCCTCTGCCTAGATTATTACCACAGTATTCTGACCAGGTCTCTAAAAAGAAAAGAGAGGAAAAGGAAACATTCAGAGGAGAGCTGCAGTGATGACTAAAGAAGAGCCAGAATTAAAGGAGTATGCTTTACCTGATTCTAAAGAACAGAAAACTGAGTGGGAACTTAACATTTGAACATGAACATGGCTGTCAGTTAGACGTTGCCTAGTAGAGCTTCTCATCTCCATTATTGCAAGGGAAACTGGATTAAACCACTTTAGTTACAGGGAGGAACTTACGTCTAGAAAGGATTGTCAACATTCAACAGGTTAACAAAAGAGGATTCAGAATTTTTCAGTGATATTAAAAATAAAATAAATTTTAAAAAAACACAAGAAACAAAAAAAATTCTATTTCTTTACAGAAGTTGAATGAGGTTGAGATGTTTTCTAAAGAAAGTTTCTTTAGCTTTTCTTAAAGAATATCCATTTAGAAGATTACAAAGAGAAATAAAGCAGTTAATTTTGAAACAGACTGTCTTTGCAAACGTTTTTGTTCCATTCTAATCTTATGTGAAATTTTATATAAACTTTTATGCAATTTTTCTTCTGTTCTCCAGATTACTCGCCTAAAGATAGATAGAAATCCATTTGCCAAAGGCTTCCGAGACTCTGGGCGTAACAGGTAAGTCTTAGTTTAGAACATTGATAACTATAGATATAGATAGATAGATAGATAGATAGATAGATAGATAGATAGATAGATCATTGTGTATATTTCATATTCAAAAGTAAGCAGTTAAATTTGCTAACATGGTATGAAAATAATTTGTTATGAGAATTTACTTTGTTAATACCACAGGGGCTTTGAAGTAACTTTAATTTTTGGGTGTGGTGGTGTGGCCTATGCCTCCTTTATCAGGTGAACTTTCCCTATAATGCTGTAGTGAAAATGGATGTTCCCAAAGTCGACATTATTTGCAGCTTCGGATGGAGGCCTAGGGAAATGTGCCTTTACAGTTCCAGGAGCCTTACTATCCCAAATCAAAACTCTTTTTCTGCCTGTTATTAGTTTAGAATTTGCTTAGTCTGTTGCAGCTATCTATGGAGTCTCTTTTCTGAGTATGACAGAGTCTCTTATTTCCTCGTATTTTTAACTATAAAATGAAATTACGTCCCTTTTGCCAAGAGAGCTAATACTTTTTAATTTCCAAATTTATCTTGGCTTTTGTGACAGCCACGCACTTACTTATTTTTTGTCTCTTGTTTTATGGTGTTTGTACCAAGTGGGAGAGCTGAAATAATGAATTCCACTAAATTATTTTCTCAAAAAGCAGATCACACCTCCTCTCTGTGTTAAGATTTTTTGGATTTATTGATGTTTCCATTCCAGTACAGTTTGGTGCAATATTTTCTAAAACAAACATTGCTAATCACAGCAATTAAAACATGTTTATTGTTGTTGTTATGTGCTGTTGAGTTGCCTGTGACTCATGGTGACCCTATGTACAACATCCCTAAACCCTGCTCTGTCCTATTCCAATTTCACTGTCTCCAACACACCTACCCTCATTACCTCAGTCACTGAATCAATCCATCTCATCTCATCTTTCTCTCTTGCGCTGTCCCTTCACCCTTCCAAGCATGACATCCCTTTCCAAGGATTTGTCCTTCCTTGCAATATGTCCAAAGTATGTCAGGTGAAGCTTCAGAATAATCCTTGCCTCCAAGAAGCAGCTTGATTTCACTCTTTCTAGAACAAACCTGTTTGTTCTCCAAGCTCTCCATGGTATATTCAATACTCCTCTCCAGAACCACAGTTCAAAGGCATAAATTCTCCTTCTATCATCCCTAGTCATTTCATTGTCCAGCTTTCTGATGCATAGCAAGTAATGGCAAAGATCATTGCCTCAATCAGGCCCACATTATTGCTCTTCAGTACTTTGGAGTACTCTGGCATTCCTAATGCAATTTGTCTTTTAATTACTTGGCTGCTGATAGCAAGAGTGTTGATTGTGGAGCCAAGCAAATGGAACATGTTAATGTTCTCAAAATCCTTTTTTTGAGTTAAGGCTTTGAGTTAAGTGTTTTTAAAACATCTTTCATTTAAAAAGCAAGTTTTTTTTTTATTTTAGTCAAGATGATATTCTAATATTTACCTTTGAAATTTGTTCTTAATTTCAAGCTTGTGTTTGCATTATGTCAAAATCACTACTTATTTTTTAGACAGTTTCATTTCAAAATTTAAATAGAAAACAATCTGTAAGTAGTTCATATTTTCAGTTCTTTGAGCCAGATAATTTAGCAAAGTAGATGTAGATAGCCACTCTTTTCTTGGAACACTTGAAATACTTGCAGAAATTTTATTTCATCTTCTTGATGCTCAAGCACATCTTTCACCTGAACAAAGTACATCAGTGATCCATGAAGATTAGAATAGCCTTAAAATTAGTACAGGTAGATCAACAAGACAGACTAATAATAACGAGGCTTCTCTTAGAAGTTCTTCGCTCCACAGAAGGACATTTTACTGGTATGTATTAGCTGCCTGTTTTATGAAATTATTCTATTTATTTTAAATGTCTGTTTCAAATTGAAGGTAAAACTTGCATCTGGAAATTGCTTGACTTTTGCTATTTTACATTAGCTCTGATTTGCTTTGCATTTTAGAGGAGTTCCTGAAAATTAAGTGTAAATCAAATCATAATTTAATAACTTGATGGGGTCAGGTAAGTAAGAGTTAAATAAGGCTTAAGTAAGGGTTTCTTAGGGAAAACTACAGAATTACTTCTTTTCTAGGTTGAAAGATACTTTAGTTAAATAGTCTTGTGGTTTTGGCTTTAGGTGAATATATAACGAGTTTCAAACTCACTGCCATCAAGTTGGAAAAAACTAACTCATAGCTTACTCTTCACTGAGTTTCTAAGCCTGAGAAATTGTGCATCTTTCTCCTGTGGAGTTGCTGGTGGATTTGAATCACCAGATATGGTGATTTCTATGGATTACACCATCTTAGCAGAATAGTAATGCCATGGTAGAAGTAATGGTTGCTGTCAAATAAAAACTAACTTATAGCTGACCCTTCAGCAGATTTTCACAGGCTGTGCATCATGTTGGAGGAGATTGCTCACCTTTCTCCTGCAGAGCAATTGAGTGATTTGAACCGCTTGCCTTTGAGTCAGCAGATTGAGGCCACTAGAGCTCCTTCCTTAGCAGAACAGTGCTTGCCAGCTTATAAATCTTATACTTAGTAAGTTCATTTTTGAAGCAGTAAATTGAAAATCTGTTTTTATAAATTGGTTTTTATAGATAGGTAAACAAATAAACCGAAACTGATTCCCATTCATAAGAACCCACTGAGGCTCTAAATCATTATAGGATAAGACTATCCATTTTTTTCCCCAGGGAGAAAATTGGTTGATTTGAATGCTGACCTTTCTGGCTAGCTGTCTAACACATTATGCACTATGCCAGCAAAGCACATTTGTTGTTGTTGTTGTTAGGTGCTACTGAGTTGAGTATGAGTCGTAGCAACCCTGTGAACAACAAGCCTGAATCCTGATCTCTCCTGTGACGTTCCTCACTATCTCTGATACACTCAAGTGTATGGGCTCAAGCCCCTTGTTTTAGTCATGGTGCCAATCAATCTCCATGGGGGATCTTCCTATTTTTCACTGAACCTCTACGCTTCTAAGTATGATACCCTTCAAGGAATAGCCTCTCCTAGCAACATGTCCAAAATATGAGACAAAGCTATGCTATCCTTGCCTCTAGCAAAGAGCATTCCAGCTTCACCTTTTTGAAGACATACCTGTTTTTTCTATGACATCCATGAACTATTCAGTACTCCTCTCCAACACACAACTCAGAAATCAGTTCTTCTGTCATCTCTATGCTTTGTGTAGCTCTCAGATACATAGCAAGTAATTGAAAATACTGTGGCCTGAATCAGGCACACTTTAAACTGACAGTACTGCTCTTCAGTGTTTTGGAGAGGTCTCTAACAGAGGACTTGTAGATCTAAGCAAGAGGAAATCATTTTCTCCATCTATCATTATGTTGCTCTCTGGCCCAGTGATCTTTGTCTTCTTGATTTTAAGGTACAATCATATTGAAGGATGTAGTCACAAGAGCTTCACATCCCTTTACATTTTCAGCAAGCAAGTTTGTGTCATCTGCAGAACACAAGTTGCTGATGAATCTTCCTCAGATCCTGATGCTACATTTTTCTTCATAGAATTCAGCTTCATAAATTATTTGCTCAGTATACAGTTTGAATAGGTATGGAGAAAGGACACACCCCTGACACAAATCCTTCCTGATTTTAAACCATGCAGTGTTTCCTTATTCCATTCAGATAAGAGTTTCTCTGTCTTTATACAATTAAATGTTTTAGAATTCTCATTCTTCTCAATACTTGGCATAGTTATTTGTGAGTCACAATCAAATGCATAGTCAAGAAGACACAGATATTCTCTGCTTTTAGCCAGGACCTTCTGACATTAGCAATGACATCCCTAGTGCCACTTCCTCTTCTAAGTCCAGCTTGAAATTCTGGAAGTTACCTATGGTTGTACTGTTCCAGGCAGTTTTAGATGATCTTCAGCAGTATTTTGCTTGTATGTACTACTAATGATATTATTTGTTAATTTACACATTCTGTTAGATCTCCTTTCTTGAGTGGAAACAAATATGAATCTCTTGCAGTCAGCCAGCCATTTCCTGGCATAAACTGAGGCTGAATCTATTAGTTGAAAAATGTTCCCGGGTATCCCATCTATTCCTGAGGGCTTGTTTTTTGTCAGTGTCTTCAGTGCAGCTTGAACTTCTTCCTTTGTTCCCATTGGCTATTGTTTATATGTGCTTCCTGAAATTTTTCAGTGTTGACTAATTCTTTTTGGTAGAGTGACTGTGTATTCTTCTGTCTTCTTTGAATACTTCCTGGATCATTCAAGATTTTGCCCATGGCATCTTTCAATATTGCAGCTCAAGGCTTGAATTTGTTTTTTGGTTGTTTCAACTTGGGAAATAATGATCTAATTCTTCCCTCATTATTCTCTTACTATAGCTTCTTGCATATTTTTCTTATAATAATGCTTTGTTTTATTTCTTGATCTACTCTTTGAAATCTTCTGTTCAGCTCTTTTACTTCAGCATATCTTCCCTTTGTATTGGTTTCTCAACTGTCTCATGCAATTTTCATAGTTTTTTCTGACACTCTATTTTGGCTTTTTGTTTCTCCTCTGTCTTTGTAATGACCTTTTGCTCTTTTCATGGATGATATCCTTGATTTCATTCCACAGCTCCTCTGATCTTCGTGTAGACAAACAATATTGAGTACACTGCGAGTAAAGATGAGGTAGATGTAGAATAAGTTTCAGGAAGAATTTTAGATACGTCAAAAGTAATGAAAGACACTTTGTAATTTAAAGGTTGACAGTAATAAAAATCAATGACGCTGATGAAAATAAACTATTAAGTCTATTGTTTTGTATAGTGAGATAAAAAATGCTAATTTTGATTTGAAATTTTTATTTGTCTCTGATTGTTTTGGGAATATGTAGACAGACACATATTGTATTTACTACTACTATTTTTTACCTGAAAAAAAAAATAGTAGTAGTAAATATGGATTGAGGCTCAATGTCAAGAAGACAAAGATTCTCACCACTGGACCAATTGGCA